CCAGAAAGATCTCTGATAATCCATATGATGACAGGGGACCTACTCCCAACCCAACCCTAGGGGTTGTGACTTCCTTGCTACGCGTATGGGTCATGTGCTTTCAGTAGTACGGGCCCATACTACCTTCCACACCTACCCATATTTGTCTCAAGTATCACCACAACACCCTAACCATATACAAACATAGCGAGCGCTCAATCCTCACTCCTAGAGGAATACTGAATATCTCATAACTAGCCTCCCGGCCTCTCACGACCCACCCATCCGTGAAACTTCCACCAACCCTGCAGCACTAGTGTATGCTAGCCATACATAACGCTGGACCGCATAGACTTTCGAATGTCCAATCCTACCCTAAGCTCCCAATCAGGCAAGAACAGAACATAAGGCCAAATCAAACATTCTCATGCTATAAGATCTTAATTATGTATAACCGTGATGTATACACTAAGCAACTACAGTAATGATGTCAATTTCATATAAAGGAAACCCTAGGCTAGCAGGCATCATGTAATCAGGCAATTCTATCATGCAATTGCTGAAGATCCCTAGCCTAGTACTAGCATGCTGTTCTAACATATCACCTAATCAAATAACTTTATGGTATTTTGTGGTTTACTTACTGGCTCTGGCTGATCGTACACCATGCATCCTCCTTTACTTATTTTGAAAACCATTTCGAAATCGTTTTGAAAATCTTTCCTTGATTTGAGATTGGATTCACACGATTGTTCCTCTAATTCACTCAAACCAAGGCTCTGATACCAACTTGTAACATCCATAAAAATCATGCCAAATTTAAGCTTTTAAAAACATTTCAAATCTGTTAACCATTACAAAACATTGTTTTCAAAGTGTATCATATCAGAATATCCCAGAAACAAGGTCACAAAAAGTGAGGAGCTGTACGATCACGCCTTTGCCTTGCCACGATCTCCTGATGTACCTGAAACAATAAACTGGAACTGTAAGCCCGAAAGCTTAATGAGTTCCCCCAAAATACCAACCTCATACAACCATATTCATATCATATCAACAAATACAGAAGAGCATGCATAATGAACCTTCAGTCTGATTGGACCGCCTCGCAGGCCTTGATTCTATCTGGACCGCTTTCCGCGCCTTCGGCACGTCTGCACCGCCTCGCAGCGCCTTCAGCCTATCCGGACCGCTCGCTGGGCCTTCGGGCTGACTGGACCCTGGCCGGGTCTGCAGTCTATTCGGTCCGCCCAGGGTATGTTGGCCTTCAGCACAAAGCAGGACCGCCTTAACCTATCCCAAACCAAAACAAACATGTGTACATAACTATCATACGCTAGCATGCATAACAGTCAAACCGATCTAACAAATCAATAACATAGCAACATCCTATGACCAGCATACCAACCTAACCAGGTCACTAATATAGCATCATCCTATAATCAGGATACTGATCTAACCGATCTCTAACATAACAACCATCCTATAACCAGGATACCGATCTAACAGATCCCTAACATAGCATAGTCCTATAAACCTGGACACCGACCTACCAGGTCCTAAGCATATCACCATCTTAACTACCAGGATGTAAATCAACATATATATATATATATATATATATATCTATTATATATATATATATATATATATATACCAAATGCTAGCTACCATGTACAGCTAGTCATACAGATCTAACAGATCAATAATCATAACATGCAATAACCCGGATACAAATCCGATAAGGGTCGGCATTGGTGCCGTAGACCCTGTCAGTATAGTGAGGAGAACTCATCTCGCAAGTAGTGCCAAAATGCTGTAAATCTCTGACTGATGTCCCACCGGGAATCCCGAACTATCACATAATCAATACTAAGTTAATACCCAAAATAACCTTCTTGGCTAGGTGTCCACACTACTCATTAAGTCCATTCTCATTATTGGGCCAAGGCCCAATACCAAGTCCTTAACTTGAACGTCCATATATAAAGCCCATTATTGGCCCAATTTACTAAATTGGGCCCAACCTCCTAATTGGGCCTAACCCCATGATCCATTATCACTACCTGGCCCAAAATATCTTATTATAGAGTCCAGCAAAAGCCCAATTCCAATTAGTCCATAAACAGCCCAGCCCGAAGCCCATTATGTGAAACCCATTCTTACTGAGTAAGCACGGCGTACTCAGCTGTACGCAGCGTGTACCATGTTCGTGACTTGTATGCTGCGCGTACCAGCTTGTACGCCCAGTGTACTCCTATGTTAAGTCCTTTTTTCTATTAAGCACTTAATGCTTCAAACCAAGGGACCAAATTACAGATTTGAGTTCTACTTAACGTCTTAATCCATAAAGTTACTGACTTATACGACCCACATGAACCCAATACTCAAAGTATAGCAATCTACTTCCATGAAAATGGCCCTAACTCTTGCATGAACCCATTACGACCTCCAAGATGGCAACTTTTTGCCTTAGGGACTCAAATAGCACTAAGGGTGGCAACCCTAAGCCTAAGAATCGGATTTGAACCATAAAGCTTCATCCTTAGGACCAAAAAGGAACCAAAACCCATATATGGTAGATCTAAGAGATGAGTGCTCAACTTCAAAGCTTTATACCTTCCTTAAGCGGAAAATGTGTCACAAAATCCAGATCCATAAGCTTCTCCTTAACCCCCCATCTTTGCATCAACTCCACTTTCTTGGAAATGGACCAAATACTCAAAAAATGGACTCCATGAGCTCCAAAATGTCACCATGGATGATTAAGGACGATTACTAGGGTTTAGAGGGGTGGAGGGTGAAGATATTAGGGTTAGGTTATGAGATATGGTGTTTAAATAGGGTCCAAGACCCTAAAATAGGGTTCTGATCTGATTGACGTACGCCCATCATACTCCGAAGAACATTCGCGACCATCCTGGTCAATACGCCCAACATACTCCAAGGTACGCCCTGCGTACTGCCTTCTTCACTAGTACGCCCCGCGTACGCTTTGTGTATGCCCTGTGTACTCGGCTAAGCCTGAAAACCATGAAACTTCCGAAGGCCATAACTTCTTCGTTATAAATCTGATTCCAACGATCCTTATATCCACGGAAAGGTAAGGAGAAGCCCCACACTTCTATAAACTTTATTTAACCTGAAACCCAACCGAACTAAAATCCAAAATTCATAAAGAAGTCTGAAACACTACATTCCCGTTTCACCCTTGACCCCAAAGTGCAAACCGAGCTATTGGGTCACATACCCCCATTACCCACATCCAAATGGGCCTAAATCTTACCTTTATAAAGGCCATGATCCTTATGATGACTGCTCTCCGGGCCACAACCTCAAATTAGGACTTTATTCGAAACAGGGCATTACAGTTCTGCTTTATGGAATTCCACTCTATAGCCAGGCACCCATCGTAGGGGTTTGTACATGCAAATGTAGAGATGAAAATAGACATAAGTAAATATCTTAAAATGATTTGTCGACATAACCATTTAAAGGCTTGCTTAAGTGGCGAATAAGACTATATTTAGCAACTTAACTGAAACCATCACCTTTGTGACTCACCGTGTAACATGTGGGCACACTATAGGGGAAGTATCAAGTTCAAATCTTTAATGTTTCAATCAAGAGATGGCTAGGAGAAGGGTGATCATCATAGTTCCAAAATGATTGTTGTGTATCATCGCCAAATGCTAGCCTTCTCCCCTAAACATCACAATATCGAGGAGCCACAATCGGCGGTGGGGAATCCATTTTAGCAAACTAACTGAAAAGTTAACTGATGGCGAAAAACGAGTTGATAAAAGATAATATGTGATAAATCCTAGCCGATAAGATAACCGAGAAATATAAAATGACATAAAAATGTGCCTATAAAGGTTAACCTTTTTAGGTAGAGATTTCAAGCTAATCCTTTCTTCTACTAGAAGTAATTTCGTTGACAGAGGGATTGATTTGGAGTTTATTTTGTGCCCGTCTTGTGGTACTATGTCGGAGGATATCTTGCATCTTCTTTTTAGGTGTTCCTTGGCGAAGCAGGTTTGGCGTCGAGCTGGTGGGTGGATATGTGAAGATATTCCTGCTTTTTGATAGCTTCGATTCTATGTGTCATTGGATAATTTGCATCCTAGTTTTTTTTCCCGAAGACTTGAAGACTGATAACAAATACAGTTTGCTTAACTTTGATATGTATGTTGTGGACTTATCGGAATGTTCAAGTCTTCAGAAACGTAACTTTTAGAAAAAACTTGTTATTTGATTCCATTGTTTCTTTGTCTTTCAATTGATATAGTTCTAGAAACAATAAATATAAAGTGTATCGGATAAATGGATGAAAAACTCACTCATGTACAGATCGATTTCTTTTTGCTAGCCTCTAGCTAGCTTTTATTTTTTATTTATAAAAATCCAGCCGTTAAGAAAAATGACATAAAAAGAATTATAGAAAAATAGTAAATATTTATTAAATTAAACAACTTTCAATAGAATAATAATAAAAAAAATTAATTAAATTAAATTAAAAAAAATAAAAAATATTAGTTATAGTTAATTGCATAAATGTTTCTGAGTAATTATTATCAACTAAATAGTTAAAACTGAAAAAGACATATTTATCCATAAGTACAATTTTAGTTGGTATTGGAAAAATACACACTTTAAAGATACTGTATTAGGCTACACGGTGTCGTGATGGGGTCACCGGCTGTGATGGGGTCGCCGGCGGTATCCGACGTGTTACCCTTTCACCGTCGGTGAACACCACGCCGTGAATGTGGTTTTACCGCCGGCGGTCTTCTACAGTTGGTAAAATTTTAAATTTTATAGCATTTTGTGGAAGGGAACCTTGCCAAACGGTCGGCAACGGCTAGTTTGGCAAATTTCCTTTTTTTTTTAAATCTACTATATATACAAATCAAATTTTCAAAATTTCACCACACTATACACTGTCTACAAATATTTTTCATTGAAAGTGTCTTCTTCCAACAATTCAAACTCTTCCAAACAAAATGCTCGAAACCAAAATGTTAACAACCCTTTCACATTTTCGGCTACGATCCGTCATCACACCACCTTACCGGCCACAAATAGATGACGTTCCTAGCTATTATTCACAATTGCAAATGCCCGAACAATTCCATTTCCAATATCAACCTCAAATCCAACCATCTCAAACCCAATTTTCATCCCAACCGCCATTCACACCTTCAACGGAACTATTTTCTTATTCTGAACACGAAGAACAGCAACACCAACATCAACAACAAAAGAAAGGGAAGGTTGATCCGAGAAGATGGACACAAAAAGAAGATTTTGAGTTAGCAATGGCATGAGTCGACATATCTGAAGATGGTGGCACGGTAAAGGGTCAAAATCGTAATCAGTTTTGGTTACGTATCATGGAGCGCTTTTGTAAGGGAATGGGTCGAAATCTAGATTATCAGACCTCCGACCAATGTAACTCCAAATGGAATTTTATGAACAAAGTCGTCACACATGGGAATGGAATTTACACAAACTTCGAAAAGCAATGGGCTAGCAGAGAAAGTGAAGCGAGTTTGTTGAAAAAAACACACGCTACATTTCAAGATGATATGCTAAAGCCTTTTAAGTTTATTCATGTGTGTGAAGTTGTCAAAAGAAGCATTAGGTGGAGGGAACTTGCAACACATGAAGAAATTGCTAATCTACCAAAAAGAAGTCGGACATCTTGATGATGATGACGACGACATTGAAGAAATACGCCTGCCTCCTCCTCTAATGGGAAGGGACAAAACAAAAGCTCGAGCAATAGGAGAAGGGAAAGCAACATCTTCAAATTCTACAGTCAGAACCGAGCGGTCAGCTAGATCAGAAGAAATGATAACACAAATGACACAATTGATTTCAACTTTGGAGAGACATATGATTGAAACCATCCGACTCACCGAGTATACGTTGTTAATGCAAGATGTAAGGCACCTCGACGCCGAAGATCAAGAGACGGCTAAAGCGGTGAAGCAGTCGATTCGCGGAAAATATAAGCTAAACCGCAAATGAAAATTTGATGTTATGTTTTGTTCTAGTTTTTTTTTAAAAAAAATTTTTAGGTTTTTAATGTAATTTTTAATTTCATGTTATTTTTTACTTTTAGGATTTCTAAAATGTAATTTTTAATTTTAGTATGGTTTTTAAAAAAGTTCTTATTTTTTATTAAAATTAAAAAATAAAAAAGAACGAAAAAAACTCATAGGTACATCATTTACCACACCCTAGTCCGTAGGTGAAAATTGTAAAAAATGTGAAAGTTGATGTGACGCCTACGTGACACATTTGTACATTGGTAAAAATGGATCACACCCCTTAGCCTTAATAAATTCACACACAAAAATACATTCACCCCTTTATAAAAAGAATTAGTCATTTTTGACAAGTTTGGATTTTTTTTTTCTAAAGTCAAATATATATATATATATATATATATATATATATATATATATATATATATATATATATATATATATATATATATATATATATATATATATGGAGTGTTCAACTGAGAACCCAAAAAGGTTAAGAACTCTAAAACCATTTTTTAAATATTTTCATTAAGAGGATTTTAGACAAATCAAACATTAATATTATATTAAAGAAACTTTTTCATTCCCTAGTTTACAACTAGTTTCCACTTGTTGTTGGATAGTAGTCAGACCATATTCGGACCGCCGCCGGACTAACACCAAATTCAATAATATTTCTGGTCGTATTCACATCTTAATAGAACAACCATTGTACGTTTCATTTGTTTGGTAATACTTTTTAATACATATCATTTTATTTTTGCAGCTATATATATAAAATTTTAATAAAAAAAATAGATTTATGCTTTAAAAAATTCATTTTTTTTTCTAAACTATAGATTTCTTTATAAAATATACCATGTAAAAGACATATTTATAGTTTAAATACCATATTTACAGTTTAATAAACATATTAATTAACTAATACATAGTTTAATTTTTACATGCAAACATTCATTCATATTTTAACACAAAATGTATATAATATATACAACTTGATACAATCCATTTTTAGTTTATATATGAACTCACAACATAATACAATCCATTATACATTAATTCACAAATTCAAATAAGTCAAACCTAAACTCTACCACCATTACTAACGACTAGACACCGCCACCAACTACATGTGCCACTTTCGCAACTATCATTTCTTCCAAATTAGACCTATATATAAAATCATGGATTCATAGCTTAAATATTATATTCACAGTTTAATAAACTAATTAATTTTATAATTAAGAGTTTAATGCAAAATAATCATAAAAAATAATATATTCTTGCATATTTATACAACACAAAAAGTAAATATATTCACAAAAAAATTAATACAAGCATTCATACATAAATTAGTCATATTTTAACACAAAATTCATTAAAATTTCATAGCGTAATACAATTAGTTGACAGTTCAACATACAAAATTCACAACTAAATATAAAAAGTTCACAATTTAATGCACAAAAATATATATTCACAACCATATTCTTAACTTAAAAATTACATATATACCGTTAGATCTATAGGTTAATGTTTCTTTCAAAATTTATTTACACAAATCTTCACAATTTGAATTTTACGTACTTTATTCAAAATTAGATTAAATCAGATCTCTATATAATGCTACTTTCATCTTATATTTTAGAAACAAAACAATTAATTAATAAAAAAATTCACATCTTAATACAATCAATTCACAGTTTAATATATTTAATTCACAACTTAATACAATCAAATCGTGGTTTAATAAATAATAATTTCAAAGTTTAATACAAAACATTATACTTCAAAGTCATATTCTCAACTTAAAATTTACAGTTCAAGACCTTAATTCACAGTTTAATAAAATAGTTTAGGTCTCCCATTCACAGTATTTAAAACTTAAAAACATGATTGATTTTGTTGAAGCATTTTATCGAATGTCTTGTATGCATCAAACAAATTCACAGTTTAATAAAACATTTCAGGACTCCCATTCACAGTTTAATAAAACAGTTTAGGAATCTTATTCAAAGTATTCACTACTTAAAAACGTATTAATTCACTCATTCAAAATCAAAATTCACTCATTCAAAATCAAAATTCACAGCTTAAAAAAATAAATTCACATTATTTGAGAAAATATTAACATAATAAAACACATTCTAATTTCAATTCACAGTATAACAACTATAAAACATAAACAATGAAGAACAACTTGATGTAAATATTATAAAACATAAGAAAACAAACATTGATTCACAACTTAACAAAAGAAAAAAACAATGATTAACAAAAATAAAAAATAAATGAAAGATTAAAACATTAAATTCACAGCTTAACAAAAGCAAAATAATAATAAAAAAATTGATATACCTGATGTGTTTCATTAGAGATCAGATAGAAAGAGATGGAGGATGTGGCAGTGCTGGAACATATCTAAGATGGTAGAACTACCATCGGCCACTGTTACCACTGTTATAGCTTCAGATCTATACATAAAATAGCACCACACAAATTGGATCTAGAAAAATCGAACCACATACATCAGATCTGACCAGATCTGAATGTGATGTCGACAGTAGGATGTTGTGGTGGATATCAATGGTGGTATCGATGGTGGAAACGAAGTTGATGGTGATGAAGGTGGTATCAGATCTGACCAAATCGTACCATATTTGAGATGTTTTGCGTTTTAGAGAGGGAAAGTTATGCTAAAAAACTTTGTGACTCCAGATCTGAGACCAGGTGGCTATTGATGGTGGATATGGATGTATTTTCAGATCTTATCAGATCTATGTTTCCGTTGGTAGTAGGTTAACGACATGGAAGACGGATTTTGTGTTGCCAGTGATGGATGATGGTGATGGTTATGTCGCTCACTAGAACTCATAAATCTGGAGGAAAAAAATCATAGATCTGAAGATGAAAGTCGTAGATCCGAAAAAGAAAATCGTAGATATGAAGCTGAAAATCATAGATCTGAAACTAAAAATCGCAGATATGAAGCTGCAATTGTAGATCTGGAGCCAACCGAAGCTTGTGGGTCTAATGGCGGTGGTTCACCGGTGATAGGACGCAGCGGCGGCTCGCCGACGGCATGAGGCGGCGACACTACGGGGGTGGTGGCAGGTGGCAACCGGTGATAACGTATGTTTGTTCTTTAAGTTTGAGATTAGAGAGAAGATATTCATGTGAGTGTGTGTAGATCAGAAATAATAAAAGATGAAAGTGACTTCTTATGTTATACCTTAATAAAAAAATGTTCTTAAATGGTTTGTAACCTTTAGGGTTCTCATTTGATCTTTTATATATATATATATATATATATATATATATATATATATATATATATATTATTATTATCTATATATATCTATATATATCTATATATATATATCTATATATATATATATATCTATATATATGGATGGTTCACTTGAGATTAAAAAAAATTAGAGTTCTTAAGATTCAACATTAGCCACATATTTCTCATTTGCCGCTCTAACGCTCCAGCGTATCGGTAGTAGTGGGGTATGCCTAATCGTAAATGATTATACATATATCGTTTTTCACAGATTGATTAATCATATATGATTATGACAGTTGGTAGCAGAAGATGCGGTGATGGCAGAGGTGGCGGTGGTATAAGTGACGGAGATGACAGTAATTGGGTCAAATGGTGTCAGAGGTGGTGGTAGTGGTGGTGGCGATGACGATTGTGGTGGTGGGGATGGTGGCGGAGGAGAAAGGAACGGGCGGTCTTATATAATCATTTATGATTATAACATGTCTGCCGTGCCAGTACACTGGAGGGCTAGTACGGTAGATGTAAAATATGTGGTTGAGGTTGAATCTCAATATCTCTATTTTATTTTTAATGTCAAGGGAACCCTTCTCTCTCTCTCTCTCTCTCTCTCTCTCTCTCTCTCTATATATCTATATATTATATATATATATATATATATATATATATAATAGATATATATATATATTATATATATATATTATATATATATATATGGGAAAAATGAATATACCCTTAAAGGTATATAAGCTATGGTATCCAAACTTATCATATTATGTGGTTTTGTATCATATATATACATTGTAATTATCTAATGTTCTTATAATTCAACTTCTAACTTGATTTACTTCTAAGATTTTTATAAATTTCACATTTATCTTCGTCTTACATAATTCTCATTTTCAACTATAATATATATAGCCTAGTTTGTGTTCGACAAAAAGATGTGATATAAGAGGAAGAAAATAGTAAAATTTCGAAAATATTGAAATTAAATCAAATTAGGAGTTGAAGTTTAAGAACATTATAATTGACTATATATCAAACAAAACGACGTATTTTGGTGGGTTGGGTTCTTAAGCTTATATACGCTGAAGGGTATATTCACTTTTCTATATATATATATATATATTATCTATATATATATATATATATATATATATATATATATATATATATATATATATATATATATATATATATATATATATGGGAATTAAAACTCAGTCTCACGATCATCTACAGAATTCCATATTTCCATTACAAATTATTTCCATCTATACAAGTTTATATCACGCTAACTTTTAGATTAATTCCGATAAGAAAATACAAAAACATATTCATCATTTTATAACATAAATTTGGGTCCAGTGTGGTTATGACAAAGCTCTTTGCGAAAAATCCATTATGGGTTAATCATAACAAAACTAGAAAGTGGGTTGTTTCTTGTCTCTTAACACCATCCCAGTAACTAAAAGCAAAATAGTGATGATAAGGGATATTTTTCCATAAAGGGTAAATGATCTTGTTCTCCAATATATGTACTATTACGACATTGAACAAGATTGAAATGAGCTCCAATTAATTGCATTAATTGAACTGAATTGCAGCTTATATACAGACTCGATAAAAGGGGAAAAACGAACATGCTACTTCTAACAACTTACTTAACTAACAATTAGGTAAAT